GGTTTTCTGAAGGGAGATTGGTGACATATGCGTCTTCTTGATCGTAGAGGGGAAAGGGGTAAGGTTAATTGACTCTCGTACCCAGATAGGTGGGAAATCTTTTGCCCATCAAGTGTGACTGGGACACGTTGTGTGGTTCTTATTTTTCAAGAAGGAAACTCACACGGCAGAGTCGAATGCAAAATCGTGCCATGGGATGGGATTTGGTTAGGCAAGGACAGAGAATGAATTGTGCTGTAATCAAGCCCACTGACAAAAGTGACGTGGATTGACTAGTAAATCTAATGTACTGGAAAAGAGCAAGAAATGAGATTATAAATACAGAAAGTGGAATCGTGCCTGTGAATGCCTTTTCACCAGTCATACGCTGGTTGCATAGACTATACTTAATTTGGCCAGAATGCGGTGGATGCGTCCGACCTTGGAGAGGGCGCTCGAAGTTTCCTTACCAGGGAGGTTTGTTGACAGAGGAGTACCAACTAAAATGACGACGAGATTATTGAATGGCCGAAGACTGAACGAGGAGAAATACCAAGTTAACTGCTGGCCTTCTCATACTGGCGCGGACGAGGACAAATCTCCGAGGGTTTTGAGCCGCCTTGTCGTCTTGGCAACTCGTGATTTGCCCATAAATGCGCATGACAACGGACGCAACTCTACCTGCAAATCTCGATATTTACATCATAGAAGGCCAGCAATAATCCGGTAATAACTTTGTTAGTATGATAGTTGGTTCGTTCTTAACCCTCCACCTTTCTCAGTAGTCACTTTCGGTAAAGTTCTTGAAGGCGTTTATTTTATCGGCAGCGATCGAGTGAAGGACCCCAAACCCACACGACCAGCCAAAGGTGCCTGTCCTACGGGGAAGGTGGTAATAGGGGCTTTACGGGCGCGACCTATGCATGCATAGTGGAATGGCAAAATAAGTATGAATAATTGGTAAATTTGTTTTTTTCGGGCGGAAAAGTTTTAATGCACTGGCATTTAGCAACCGAAATTAAGCAGGACAATAAAAAAATAAACATTAAGTGTCCACAACGATCGCGTCCTAGCACTGAGCTGAGGGCATTGTAGATAATCAACCAGACTGTTAACACCAGGCGACCCAACCTTGTACGATGAAACACCAAACCGAAATAATCGTGTCGGATTAAAACCCACTCAAATATGTATAGTAGGTATTCGTTATATGCCACAGATGTTTAGAGGCCTTCACCCGATCCTTACTGTTTTATCATCAAATTCATGCTATTTCATCCCCAAAGTGTCTTGGCGAAGACAAGTCAGCCTTTCAGTAATTCCACTTCCCACAGAAGATAGCAGAACTGGCGTCTGTGACTAATACAGAAATTGTTTTTGAGCCAGCCCGGAGTGGCAGATCATAGTAAATCCCGTTGCTTGTCGGACATCTCCTTTTATTCACCCCAGTGATCCTTGCCTATGCAAATAAATTCTTCTGTAACATCGCCAGTCGCAATGCAACTACCTGCATTGACTCTAGATTGAGATCCAAAGGCCGAGGGGCGAGCATGCTCGTTATGCTGATGGTGAACGATTCTCCCCCAATATCCTTTTATTGTCAAATGCCATGAACTACCCTTTTGTCATTCAGATGTCAATGTCAGCTCGAAGAGTGGGGGACGAGCATAAAATTGTAAACATGGCATTTACAGAACATAATTTGTTACAGGGTAGCCCGACACAAATAACTGCTTTCCTGTTACTACTAATTATCAACAACACAGGACTTGCTCGGTCACAAATGCTTTGCCCATATGGAGGTGGTCATGCGAGTTATAATCTTGACTAGTGTTCTATATGCCGGTCGATGTAATCTCATGTCATGGTGGAAGAGCAAATCTTTCTTGAAGAGAAAGAATTCAAGCAGTGCAACGACCGATGACAATGAGGAACGGGCTGTATGCCTTCTTTAGATAAACTCGATTCCTCTGCTAACTAGACTGAGGATTGTAAACTTAGTCAGATTTACCGCATCGAAGACTTCCCTCCAGCTATTCTTAGAGCTAAATATTATCGTTAAGATGGTTTACAACATTTTCCTATTGACAAAAGTCAAGCGCAAGATACAGATTAAAGATAGCCGTGGCTTTAATCCAAGTTACTCACTTCGGCAACGGTCGTGCACAAAGTTATGCAAACTGTGACCATGAATGCTCTCACGGCTTTCGAGCCGAACTCACGGGTCTCTTTTCACTCCACCATAGCTCATTCTCAGTCAACGTTGCACTCGACTCTCACAGGACTGGGAAACGATCACAGGCACTTGGAACCTCAGTATCCGGAATTCAGGCCAAAAGGAGGGAGACTTTCCTTTCGTGCAGCCCAGCAAATTAAATGGACGCAGCTCCTTACGTTTTCTGGATATTACTAGCCGCGACAACTCCAGCATGACCATTCCCATCAATGGTCACGGAGTTGGCAGCAGTTAAACCAGATTTCGATGTTTTCGTCGGTGCAGCTCTTTCGCGTATTCAATGTTCGCTACAGTATTAGGGGTTCTAGTCCGGACTCCTAAACGGTATGCTCATGGGACCTCCAACCCGCAGAAATGTTGCATCTACGAAAGCAAGATCCCAACAGATAGAAAGGCAGGGATGCGTGACACGCCCTTATTCATAAATATCATCGGTATTTATCAACAATTAAGGAATGTTCAAGTTGGAATGTCTTGCCAGAGGGTAAAATAATCACAGATTTGCGGAATCGATACTGCTTTACGAAAGAGTCTAATCCCACATAAGGGTTTGGGACTAGTATATTGGCTGTCGCGGAGATCATGCCAGATTGGTTACATTTCGTCTAGAGTAAGAATCGAAAGGACCTTTTTCAGAATTAGACAGTAATAACAATGACAAGTATTGAGAGAATCTCTGCGATCCGTCATTTCGAGGGTGTTACCAGAACGGAGTGAGCATTTGGTCAAAATCTAGCAGTGTCTTCGATCACCAGTAGATTGAAATGCTTATCAAGAGCTCAGCTGTTCATGTGATGGGTCTCAGGCACTGACAAAACTAACGCCTTCAGCATCTCGGAATGCAAATGCATCTTATATTCTTTTTTATAACATTGCCGTCCACCTCTGCCAACATTCGGCCAGTCTACGCACACCTCAAA